GGCTCTGAGCTCTGGCTTCTGACCCTGGCCTGACTCTGTACCTGACTCTTGCTTACAGGACCTGGCTATTGCGATTCCTCCAGCTTCTGCTTAGCGACGACTGCCCTTGGGAAGACGTCAGCCCAGCTGTGACCGCTAGGCCTCACCACCTACAGCCTGGGCTCTTACACAGCCTGGGCTGGGTCACTTGACTAACTGCTGTACAGTTGTGCTGAGGAACAGCCACCTGGACTCAATGACCTTTGCAGGGAGGGAGGGATTGAATCCTCCCCCAGGAACAATCTCAAACTAGAAGGTTTTTAAGTCCAGGATCTCGCAGCAAACACAGCCACTTGCCCTCCCTACAGAACGGCGGGAAGCAGCCTGCCCAGAGGCGGGGCCCTCGGCAAGTCCAGTGCAGGTGGGAAGAGGCAGCAGGAGCCGAGATCTCGCTGAGCCCCAACCTGCAGTGCAATTCTGCAGAAAGGCCCCCTCTGTCCCCGCCCGGCCCACCAGGCCTCCGCTGCACCATCGGGGTGAGTGAGACAGTAGCCAGGCGACTCCTTCAATGACCCAACTGGCGCTGCAGCTTCCACAGCCGCTGGGCAGAGGGAAGCCTCAGGTTGTGAGGTGAGAGCCCAGTACCTGCAGATGGAACTGGGCTGTCCCCACAGCACCTAGGGGCAACAACCCACCAGGTTTGGGAGGGACCATTAGTGTCTCTACAGACTTCAAATGAGCTTCTAATTAACCCTGGAGGGGAAGGCCACACCTGGAGCTTCAACTTGAGCCCAGGCTTAGTGAGAAACTGGCGCCTGGTTGGAGGGAACACGTCTGGCTCCAAGGGGAGCTGGCCCCGCTCTCTCTTATGGGGAAGGGGTGCCTGGGCCCCGTACCCTCAGCCAGCTATAGGCACGCGAGGGCTCCCTGCAGAGGCGAACACAAAGCATACAGCGTGCGCATCCCAGCCACAGGAAGCGGAAGCATCAGGGCTCTTATGGAAGAGAGATAAATACAATCACAGAAAGGGGGTTGGGGGCAGGGGGAGGGAAGCCAGGAACAAAACCACTGAAAGTTGTTCTGATGTCAGCAGGTTCTGAATCAGTGCTTCCCCCACTGGGGCCCTGAAATAGGACCAGCTGGGGAGAGAGACCTTGAATTCCTGCATGAAAGGGTTTTTTCCCTGGGTTATGTTGTAGCCATTACACAAGTGTACGTTTTCTATAGTCGTATATTTCACTTCTCTCTAAATCTCTATTCCAGATCTGGGGGCAGGGACTCCGCAGCTCCAGCCCTAGCCCAGGTGGGCCTCAAGCCTTCTAACATCTAACCTCCAGGGCCTTCGCCGGACCAGACAGGCAAGCAGGCTCCCAACCCCCATTCTCTCAAAGGGGACGTAACAGGAAGGTCCTGACCTCTTGCAATTGCTGCGTGCTACATGAGAGCTGGGGCGTCAGCCCCGCGGCCCCGCCAGCCCCAGCTCGGGTAATTCCATCCCAACTCTCTGAACAGCAGCCTGTCGCTCCAGACACCCCGCCAGCCCTCGGCAGCGCCGGCCCCGGGCATCAGCAGCACGGCACCGTCTCCTCGCCCGTAAGCCGTCTCTGGGGGACGGCAAACTAACGACCACAGAACAGAGCGACGAGCCCCGTTACGATTCCAGCTACTCAACCCCCAGAAAGCTACAGCAGCCTCCTCTCCCAGCCTAACCCGAGAGGCAAAGCACTCCAGTGCCGATTGCCCTACGAGCCTAGGGTGAGCCCTTGGCTCTCTCGCCTCTCTGGGCCGCTGTAGCCCCTCTGTCCTGGCACTGGACTAGAGGATTTACTGGAACCCAGCGTATCCCATTTACTCCATTCCCTTGGGTCACCGATTGGGCAATTAAAAACAGCATCAAGTTTGTCCAGCAAGACCAATGTTTCACCAAGCCCCCGGAAAGCTGCTTACTGCGGAAGGTTCCATTATCCTCTAGAACGTAAGAACGGCCACACTGGGTCAGACCAACGATCCATCTGGCCCTGCATCCAGTCTACAGATACTGGCCAGTGCCAGGCCCCCCAGAGGGGATGAACAGAACAGGGAATCATCATGTGATCCATCCCGTTGCCCATTCCCAGCTTCTGGCAAACAGAGCCTAGGGACACCATCCCTGCCCAGCCTGGCTAATAGCACTGATGGACCTATCCTCCAGGAACTTATCTAGTTTTTTCCTGAACCCTGTTATTGTCTTGGCCTTCACCACATCCTCTGGCAAAGAGTTCCACAGACTGACTGTGCGTTGTGTGAAGAAATGCTGCCTTTTGTTTGTTTTAAACCTGCTGCCTGTTACTTTCATTTGGTGACCCCTAGTTCTTGTGTTATGAGGAGTAAATAACACTCCCCTAGTCACTTTCTCCGCACCAGTCATGATTTTACAGACCTCTATCGTATCCCACCTTAGTCGTCTCTTTTCCACGCTGAACAGTTCCAGGTTTTTGAATCTCTCTAGACACAGAAGTTGTTCCATCCCCCTCATCGTTTTCCCTGCCGTTCTCTGTCCCTTTTCCACTCCTCGTGTGTCCGTTTGGAGCTGGGGCGACCGACCTGCCAGCCGTAATCATGATGGATGGATGTGAACCCTGGCTCTCAACCTTCATCCCATGATTTGACCAGGGTCCGAAGTCAGTCTGGCAGTGATTGCCAGGCTCCCTGCGAACCTGTCCAGTGCACACTGGCTTTCCAGTGCAATTCTCAGTGGCCCTCGACATTTGTTGGCCAGTAGCCTCAGCACTGCGTGAGGCCTGCACTCCAGACAGCAGCATCTTCCCTCGCCACTCATTGCTTTCACCCCAGTGAAGTGCACAAGGCGCTTTCGCTGGCCTGGCTCACTCAGTGCAGGTGTCTTGGGGAATGGAAGTTCACAGCAGTTTGGGTAACGATTTCACAGACACACAATGGAAGTGGTGAAATGGTATGTACGTCCCCCCCCAAGCCCACAGAGCAGCCAGCGTGGGGAAATTCTCCCCTTCGCCCCCAAGGCGAACCAAGAAGGCCTCCCTGTTGATCTTGTCCCAACATGCTGCCTGTTCTGACCAAGCACTTTGTCTCAATTCCCTTTCCTCTGGCCTTCCTGAGCACCAGCTTTCCACACGCCAACACGCCAGATCCCCCATCCCGTCTCCCGACGCACCATGGAGGGTGACTACAGCACCCCTTTCTCCAGCACGGCCCCTAGCTCCCGCTCCCTTTGGGACGCTGCTGAGGATTTCCCTCCTGCCCTGAAAACGCTCTGGATAGATCGGACATTGCAGGCCTGAAGCAAAGTTTTCCAAGGTGTCGACCCCCACAATGAATTACTCAAGGTATACGTGAAAAAACTGCACATGCAAAAAACAAAACAAAACAAAAAAAACCACCCACTGCTTCCCAGGTAGCATCAGCTGCCTCCCCATTCCTTCCTGCTGTCTAGAACTACTTCCCGGCCTCTGGACTCTCCCTTGGCTTCCCAGTCTCCGCAGAAGAGGCCGGCAGGCTCTATGAACCGCATAGCAAGCAGGGACCAACTCCACAGCCTTACCACTCACCATGAACCGCACTTTGCAACGCCCAGCCCACCAAGCCGTGCCCTGCTGAGCCAGCCCACCATGACCCAACCACAGCAGAGCTTATGCCACTTCAACCTGAGTCCTACCTCCTCGTCTGAGCTGTCGTCCTCATATTCACCCCTCAGCGGCAATCCCTGCTGGGCGCTGGGCATTGACTCGGTCTCCAAACTCCGGCACTGCACTTGTTCCTTCTTCTGGGAAGCCATCCTGGCCTGCAAGGCAATGAGAAGACAGAGACTTGGGTCAGTGTGACCCCATCGCACTGACTGTGCGTGACGTGACCACTTGTTTGACTCGGTAACCACCCCCATTTGGGAATTTCAGTGACGCCCCCAGAGTGTCCGTCTGCTGCACAGCATCACAGGAGCCAGGACCTACTGCACTCCCAGGTCTCTCCCCCCACGGGGTCCTTGCTGGTTCCCCACCACCCAAGCCCTTACTCTAAAGCTCCTGGGGTGACCAGGGTCACCATCTCACCCAAGGAAGGTATTAGTTTATTAGACTAGGTGATTCTAAAAAAGGAACAGCCCCCTCCCCCCCACGTCCCCCCAGGGCTGTGGGGAGAGAAAGTCATTAGCCCCAACCTCCTGGAGGCCAGCCATTGGGGCAACCTTCTAGGCACCTGTGCTGCCTTCCCCGTACACAGGAGAACAATCTTGCTAGGCTGACTTTTCCTACCCCCGGCAGCTTCTGCTGGCTGGCCACGTTCTGCTAAATCCCCCAGCCAAGGGTCAGACCGCAGGTACCTGCCCCCCCCCAGCCCATGGCATAACCCCCTCTGGGAGGACACTCGCTCATTCCACGCCCAGGCAAGGCTACCGCAGAGCCGTGGAGCCAGACAGGACATGGGGATGAGGAAGGCATGCTGCGGTTACCCCAGCCCTGCCCCAGCAACAGCAGAGAAGTGCTTAGCCAAGGAAGAAAAACCATGTGCAGGCTCCTCAGGCCCTGGAGGGGGCTGGCAGCTCGGGAGATAAAGGTCTGGCTATTCAGAGCGCACAGGCCACGGCAGCCCCTGCAGGCCACACCACCCGTTCCCAGAGCAAGCCGGACCCAGCCCTGCATTCAGCATCCCCATCCCCTACCCTGCAAACCAGCAGCCCCTGGATTTCTGATGCTCACCCCACATGTCCCTAGGGATTACGGTCTCCCCTCCCACAGCCCTTTTAACCCTGGCAACCAAGATTTAGAACTGTAGGACTGGCAGGGACCTCGAGAGGTCGTCTAGTCCAGTCCCCTGCACTCCTGGCAGGACTGAGTATTGTCTAGCCCATCCCTGACAGGTGTTTGTCCAACCTGCTCTTAAACATCTCCAGTGATGGAGATTCCACAACCTCCCTGGGCAATTGATTCCAGTGCTTATCCACCCTGACAGGAAGATTTTTTGTAATGTCCAACCTAAACCTGTTGAAATACACCCGAGAATACTCAGGGAGCTGACTGAGGAGATATCTGAGCCATTAGCGATTATCTTCGACAAGTCCTGGAAGACGGGAGAGATTCCAGAGGATGGGAAGAGGACAAATACAGAGCCCATCTATAAAAGCGGGAATAAGGACAACCCAGGGAATTATTAACTTCTGTGCCCGGAAAGATACTGGAGCAAATAATTAAGCCATCAATTTGCAAACACCTAGAGGATAATAAGATGATAAGTAACAGTTGACATGGGATTTGTCAAGAACAAATCGAGTCACACCAACCCAATAGCTTTCTGTGACAGGGTAACCAGCCTTGTGGATGGGGGGGAAGCGGTAGACGTGGTATATCTTGACTTTAGTAAGGTCCAGAGTGCTGGGAGAAGTCTCAGGCTAAGATCACTGCAGGTGCTGGCAGCCGGATTCAAGTTGGGGTGTCTGAAGCCGAAGGACAATGTATCTGAGACATGGGCTGAGCAGCAGATAAGCCTTTGCTTGGTCTGACATCCTCTGCTGCAGCCAGCCCCCAAAGCGTCCCTGCAGCGTGTGGTTTCGCTGATGACACCCCAGGGTGCTGCCATTTCATAACCACAAGTTTTTCTTTGTGCCCGAGGCGGTTCTAGCAAAGAATGGGCCAGGCACAAGGCTGGACTCACAGCCCTCCGCTACCCGTGCTCCTCCAAGCCGTCAGGGGGCCTGGGCAGCGTACCAGAGCGACGCGCACCTGTATCTCCAGAGTACTTAGGGGTGCCCACAGCGTGGCCAGCCGCGGGTCCCACTGACCGCTTGTCAGAAGTGATGGGATCAGACCGGATCTGCCTAAAATGGCGCCGAAGGCAGCTTTCAGCACAGCCTGGCGAGGCCCTCGGTGCCAGCACACCCTGCATGTCGAGTCTGCGCGCTGCATGCTGGGATCTGCCCCCGTGGCATTCCAGGAGGGGCCCTCAGCCTGCGTGAACCACCCTGCGCAGCCAGGGCAGGGCTCAGCTCCCCTCGACACGGGTAGCCAGACAACACCACGTTGCAGACGGCGCCCACTCGCTGACCTGCAGACCCGGCCCTGGAAAAGAGATTCCCCCCCACCCCTCCTCCCGGGGGACCCAGGCTGGATCGGGTTTACCAGAGGATTCAATGAAATAATCAGAAAAACAGCCCCAGAAAACCCCCCTCGGGGGAGCAGTAAAATCCACACAGCGTGCGATCACCTTCGGCTATACGCAACACCAACGCCGCTCCCGCCGAGCCGCAGGGAGCCGGTGGGAGAGAGCCTGGAAAATACAGGGCCAGCAAAGGGATGAGATTACTGCAAAAACAAAAGGCTTTATTAAATTTTTTTAAGAAGGAGATTGGAGATAAGTTTTTCTCCAGGCTTTTGGCGCTCAGATGGCTTTGGACCGGAGTTTCCATCTCCCCCCCCACTCACTTCCCCTCTCCCCACGCCACCACGGTGAGCTTTGGAGAAAGAGCTCGCACCGCCAAACTGCGTCACTGGCGCCGCAGGCTGGGTAACCCACCGTCCTCCGCTCTCAGCGCCGGCCCCTTCCTAGCGCCCTCAGGCTGGGTAACCCACCGACACCCCCAGCAATGGCCCAGCCAGCTGAGGACACAAGCTGTGCGCTCCCTGAGAGCGGAGATCAAACCACGGTCTTTGGGCTGCTTAAGCTGGGCCCTTGTATAAAAGCCATCCCAAGTCACCTTCTAGCACATCTGGGATGCAGGCAGGATTCTAGTGCTTAGCGATTAACTACCTCTCCGGGCATTAACCAGCTGTGGAGAACTTTCCCTAGTGAAGGAACAGTCCCCAGAAGCCACGAGGAAGTCCCCAGACAGGGCAGCGTTCGAGCACAGACTGGCAGAGACCCTACCCTGCTACCTGACCAAAGCCTTTCTGGGGAGCTGCTTTCTCGACGCCCAGAGGTGCCCGGAAGCTAGGCAGGCCGTCGTACTGATAGGAGGCTCAGGGCTCGGCGCGGGAAGCCAGCTCACCCCTGCAGAGATTATCCAGGTGGCAGAGCGCACTCACAGGTCATTCCTTGATCAAGGGCTGAGGGGAAAGCCCTTCGGTGAGTTTTGGTGCATGGAAAAGCTCTACTAGTCCTCCTGTGACTAGGAATCAGTGCGACGGGGCTCAGCTCACCCAGAGGGCAGCAGTGAAACCATGCAGTAGATTAGGGCCCCTTTAACTTCTGCTTGAACCGACAGGGAGGGTGGATAAATCGGGGGCTTTGCTCTGAGATCAAACTAATAAAGAGTGTCTCTAACAGGCCCAGCCGCTGGAACACTGGAGTCCACTAGAGGGCAGCATGCAATGCTGCAAGCGAACGGGGAAAGCTCCTCGCCCCAAAGGCAGCGCAGGGGGCCTGGGGACAAGGAGGTGAGCTTGTGCCAGCACTTGGTGAGTCAGCAAGACTCACAGCCAAGTCCTGGCTGCACCAGGACCCGTAACCTGGGCTGAAGAGAGTTTGCACCAACAGGAACCAACGTCACTGGATCGGGGCAGCACGTCGCTCAAAGGCATTTTCAGCACCAGCTCCGATTCCCAGCACAGACAGGACTGGAGACGGTCCCTGGCTGCAGCCAGGGGGATTAGTGGGAGAAGGAAACCTCCCATAGGTGGCTAATCAGACCTCCATCCTGATCCGCAGCCCCCCACTATGCCAGTCCTGCACACCCCCCATCCAGCTCTGCTCAGGCCCTTCAGTCTCAGACTGCAGCCGGAGACGTGGGACAAGATCAGGGAAGGGAGGAAAAAGAACGAACGAGAAGGGAAAATACTGAACAGAAAGCGAGGAAGGAAGGAGATGGACGGCAGAACGAACTTCGAGACGGATATTAAAACTAGCCAGGGAACAAGAAAGCCCAACGAAGCACAGCCATGGGATGCGACATTTGAAAAACGTCACGAAAGCGACTGCCAAGAAGTTGCACTGAAATGCAGGCACGCCGTGTCCGATCTGCTCAGCCCCGTAACCCCGTTGTCTGCTGGAGCAGAGCGAGCAGCCAGCTTTCCTGGCAAAGTCCCGCCCGCACCAGCCACTGCTGCACCAGCTCACCTTGCACTGAAAGAGTGAACCAGGCATGGCCTGTGCTGCAGCTGAGTGGGGTGAGAGCGGTGGCTGCTGGAGGGGGGAGTGCCATTCACTGCCTCAGCTCGCTCCTCAGCCCAGCGCAGCAGCAGCTCCATGAGCCGCCCCAGGCCTGGCCCACAGGGGGTAGATCTACAAACGCTGGGCTGGCCCCTGTCTGCTGACTCAGGCTGGCGGGTCTCTGGGCTGTAGAGCTGCAGCACAGACGTGCAGGCTGGGGCCAGGGCCGGGCTCCGCGAGGGGGAAGGGTCCCAGGGGCCGGGCTCCAGCCCGAACGTCTACACTGCCATGGTAGAGCTCTGCAGCCCGAGGCAGCTGCCGGGGGTTTAACTGCAGCATAGACACACCCAGGGAGACTGAGCCAACCTCAGCGGCTTTGCTGGGCTGCTCTCTCCTCACCCCTGCGCCGGCTTAAACCAGCACCAGCGCACTCCCCCCACAGCCAGTCCCCCCTCACCTGAACAGGCTGGAAAATACAGGGCTCACCAAGGACTCCTTCCAAAAGGAGGGGGGGGTGAAGGTGAATCTCTGGTCTACTGGCAGGCCTGGGGAAGTGGTGCTGGGGCTGCAAGACACCTGGGGAAGGGGGGCGGCTGCTGAGAGGGGAGAAGGGATGAATTTGGGGTGATCGGTGACAGCACGGGGAAGGGGGAATGGGAGCAGCGAGCCGGGTGTGGGAGTCGTGGCAGGTGGGGAGGGAGAGAAACA